ACCTTACTAGACTGGATGTTCGTTTGCGCATACAACTAAACCATTCTTGAGATGGTTCCCTTATTCCTCTTATAGACGCTCAAAGGGAATGGCCTACAAGGACGGTCAATTGTGATGGTTCGCAGTCGACCATATATTGCCAAGGGAGAGATGTTGATGTATTGTAAAGAATTATAACTCAAGAGTGTCTAGAATGCCTTAGTCAGTCTCTTCATGTTTATCTTCCAGTCAAACAGTGATTCAGTTGCTCATTTATTCCTGGAGGTTTCTACTGATGTTCTTGGCTGCAAAATTGCCATTATCGACTCGGTTTTGAAGTATATTTGTTACTCGACGCGTCTCCCCGCAACAACCTCACCATCCACATACAGAAATTTGCTCCCGTTACGTTCAATATATGCACACTAGTATATCTGTTGTACCGATAGTAAGCTCTGGTTTATCATATCATCCTACTTTGACAGATAGTCAAGCTGGAGATCGGCTCCAATGCCTAGTTGCCTACTCTTTTTGTTAACATCAACTTACTTGATTCTCTAATTTAGAAGATGGCATTCAACACGACTGAGCGCAAGAGCAAGCGCAAGCTTTCCAATGCGGACCAATGTTCCTATACCCCATCTGAGGAACGAAGGAATGGTAATACCTCTAAATCTTTGAGATGTGAGCCGCATTAACTGAGTGCAAGCAGTGGACGTCGCATCGATCAAAAAGATTAAACTCGAGGATGAGTCTGGAAGCTTGGTCTCGAAAATGAGCAGTAGGCTAGGTCTTATCATTTATGCTGTCAGTAAGAGGTTAATTATATGTTCAGAACTCGCAGGTATAGACGAGGACGCGGAGAGCATAACCTTGACCTCTCTTTTTGGTTCCCCTACGCCTGATACGCAACCCTCAGAGTCGCCTTTATCTGTGTATGCTCCGACCAAGTGTACAACGCCCTTAACTCCAGTCAAAGACCTTGAGGCGTCCAATTCAGCTGTTACGGGTACGTTCCCTTGACCCATCCTATCACGAGCCGTAGTCTAACTCTCTCTTAGGAACTTATCAGCTCATCTCACCTCCCGCGAGCCCCCCTGCAAATCTCTTCGTCAACACTGGAAACAAGCCCGGTCCAACGCTCCTTACTCTCCCGGGAGAAATCAGGAACGAGATATACAAGTTTGTTTTCTCTCCAGCCGACCGTCCAACCAGTGAGTCCTTCCACACGCACTCCTCCGCCCAGTTAGCTCCCCTCCTCACCTGTCGTCAAATCGCAGCGGAAGCAGGTGCCCTAGCCTGGCATCGCGTATGGTTCGTGCTCCCGGCGATTGACGGCCCAACACCTAGGTTCCAGCTCGCCATGACGCGATTTCTCGACCATCCCGGAATGCTCAAGGACGAGGCGAAATATCTTGTTCTGACCGATTCGGCGGGACTGAGCCGTGATCGTGGCTTGATGCGCTTCAATGAGGTGCACACTACGCGCGCGAGAGTGCACCGCTGGGTCATGCTGATCAAGCGATACAACTCCCATCGTTCCGGATTTTCTCGCCGGGGTCCTCGAGGGTACGGAGCTGCGGCGCCATGGAGCGGGCTGTTCACGTCCACGAGGGATGAGTTGTTGAAGGAGGATAATGAGGATGTAAAAAAAGGGGAGATCGTGCTGGGGGTAAAGTTGGAGAGAGTGGGGAGATGGTTGGGGCCCCCCGTCAGGACGACGGTGACGGAAGATGTGTTGTCGACTGACTGGATGTGAAGTGGAAGAGTTCTTGGTCATGTTTAATTTCTCAAGGGGTGTGCACCGGATGTCATTGGACGGTGGTTTCTTATTCTCATGTTGGAGGTTCCATTCTTCTGAACCTGTACTAAGACATTGATTATTTGTCTCTTGCAGCGATGAGGGATTTCTATTGTCCTCTGAACGAGGAGGGCGTAAAAACTGGTGTTATCTGGGAGGTATTCTGCAGTATAGTTGGTTACTAGACAGTGAAAGTGAATGTTATTTCAGTTATATAGGCATTGACTCTCATCTTTTATCATAATAAGCATTGGCAAGTCGTTTGGCGTACATGAACCTCCATAAATTTAAACTAACTCTTAAGAACCCACCGAAGTTACTAGAGTATATGCTCAGCGTATAAATTTTGAGGTTATAACAGTTATCCAGGATACTCTAACAAGGCAATAGACAATCACGGTGCACATTATAATTGAGAAACGAAGATGTAGGGGACAGTTCTAATTTCCAAGTATCTATATTGACAATTACCGCCGATTTAAGTATAATAAGAGGTTGGAGGACACCATATAAACCCCATCACTAGCGCTGTATGAGAAAACCCTAGTGATTCCAGCCTAGCTCTGGAAATTAGTCCTATCCTGACCAGGTAGCGAGTTTACGAACTCGACCGCCAGTGGCTGCTCGCTATTTCCCCTCAGGATTGAAAAATGAACTGTGACAGCTCCAAATACCCGAACGCCCCGTGGAACCGGACTGTCGAGAGGTGTTGCCGGGGGTACCTGTAGTAGCTCGACTAGCTGTAATGGAAGATTGTCCAGAAAAACTTTAGCGAAGTCCTCAAGGGGCGTGATCAGTGAACTCATTGCGGTGTCTCGAATGCGAATTGTATGGATATGACTGTAGTATCCCATCTGTACGGCATTAATCAGCTTTGTGAGCATATCGTGCAGCGCAGTATAGTGGACAGGACTATAAAACTGCCAGGCAATTTGCAATGTCGAGATATGTGTAAACTGGCAGACTCTGAGGCCATAAGAGAGAAGATACTCCAAGCCACGACTGACGCCATAAACGTTCCTAGATCCCCAACGGTACTTCAGCTCAGAGTCCGCGGTGACCGTAATGTGGTTGATCTCCGAGGTAGCGTGAGGAAAGTTTTTCCGGATCCCTTGGAGCGTATGAGCCACTTTTAAGAGCGTCAAAAGAGGCAAGGTTGATTTTGGAGCTATTACAGATCCTTCGTCCGTACACGACTCTCCCAGGTGTTTAGGGCAATATGAAAATTCGTCCCTAAGTGTAGACAACGTCCGGTTGATCCAAAGAAATGTCGGCCACTCATCCTCCAAATTGGATTGATCTTGTATAGTTACTCGCAATAAGTCATCGGCGCAAGTCTTAGAACTAGAAGTGATCATCTTATCCGTGGAAAGTGTATTCTCAGCAATCTCTATGAAATCAACATCCCTCCCTTTGATAATGACCGTCCTAGAAACTCGAGAGAATGCGAGAGAGGATGCTTCGTTGCAGAATTGCCGACAGGTAAGCAAGGGCTGTAATTGTTGAAGCATATTCTCTAGGCTGATCTCTTCGTCGAAAATGTATCCATAGATCTCGTTACGTAATTCCCCAGGGAGTTTAGGTAGAAAAAGAGACTCTTGCCGATAGGGTACCGAGGAGGGTTCAGAGGCCATGATTATGATGTTGGATATTGGTAATTCGAAAGAAGGTTGTCTCCAGAAGGAGGCTCTCTATATAGTGGACAACCTGTATTGTGGAGATATTATGTGACAAACATTGTTAAACTACAAGCACTAGTGCACGCTCATGAAGAACAGGGAAGTGACATACCGTAGTTACTGGTAGTATTTTGGACGGAATAATGGCTAAGAAAACATTAGAACCCAACATTACTTTCAGTACCTCGTGGAAAAGACCGGAACACATGGATGCCCGGACCAAAATCAGACTCGAAAACATGAGCTCCATGTTACAGATCAAATGATTGGATACTAACGCTAGACAGACTGGGATTATTAAAGTGAGGCTATCTACGTATTCTAAAGTCCTTGAGCATACATTGATACTTGTTGTTAAGTATTCTCAACGTCAGGAATTTGGTTTCCGTCCCTATAGCGAGTCCCAAAACCGCAATGTTACCCAATAGAATGGATTAAGAAGGAATGTTTCCCTTCCAAAATGGTCAAGGCGACAGAGATAAAACTAGTTGATATGAAATTGAAGGCGACGTGTTAATTTTCAGATTATTCGTCAAAACCAGGGAATGTTGCTTGAGTGCTCTATGTATGGGGGTCGAGTGGTGCACCCTTCCAGCTTCGATAGCTATAGGGAAGCTGAACCAAAGATGCTATAACCGTATAACTTACTATTCTAGTATACCTTACCCGTAACCTGTGTGCATCCAGCTCGACTTATAGCAGTGGTGCGAGCTCTAAGTGGACTTAAGATATTCAACGTGGTGTGTGCTATATTCATGCTTATGGTATTCAATGCGGTGTGGGCCCGTAGACAGATTCGTGGAGCACGCCGTACAGAGCCGGTGAGGGTAGTTGTGGCAGTCGGGGAGGATCGGAGATGGTGGTTGACGAGGCCGAACGTGGCTAAACAGATGGCCGTTGACGAAGCCAAAAACGAGGCTGAACAGATAGCCGAAGACGTGGCCGAAGACGTGGCCGAAGACGTGGCCGAACGAATCTGAACAGACAATTGGAGACTACCGTGGAGGCCGATACTGAGGCTGTACGGATAACCTGACGAGACCGTAGATCAGTCCGTACAGATAGCTGTTGACGAGTGATGCTGTGCGAGGCATCCGATACTAAAGGCCAAATTTAGGGGCCGATGTTCTGGTTCTTTTACATCGTCAGATACGACGAGCCGAATCCCGTGGTTACGTCGCCGGTAATGACGGAAGATAATACCTAGTAAGGTAGCAGCAGTATTTAGTACGTGCGAAAGTCGAGGGAAGTAATTAAATTGTAAGGCTAGCCGGGCTTATAACTGTTAAATTTTAGATCATTCGTTGAAATTCAGAGAATATTACTTAGTTCCTCTATATATATCGGGGATACATAGTCTTAAGTATGCGAATAGCTGTAGAGTACGCAAACAAAGATATTTGGCACGCCTTTATAGTTCAAAGTAAAGATAGACTAGATTCGCTTAAACGCTTGGCAGTATGATAGGCTCGATTGCTATACTTAGCGAAAAAGCTTTTTAGTTATTGAGAGACTTGCACCAACTAACCCCAACAATTGCAGGGCCTGTGGCGCAATGGCAACGCGTCTGACTACGATTACGTCGATATCAGGAGACTCCAGGTTCGACCCCTGGCAGGCTCAGCTTAAATGAAAATCAAACTTTTGCCCATTTTTTTTTTCGGTTTTTTATAATCCTAAGTTTTTGCAGTTCTCATACCACCCAATGATATCTATTATATCAGTTTCCCTTTCGCCCAAGTTGCACTTGTTCCGTTTCTTTACCCCCTTAGAACTACGAATGGAACCATCTCTACTTTTAGTGGAAGTAATTGAAACACCAGGAAATGGCAGTTTTTTTCATTGATCATACCAAATCTTAGTGAAAGACACTATCTACGGAAGGTACAATAATTTAACCCCATGGGTATTTCGTCATTACCCAACGTTGTACAGCAGCAATGCATCCCCAATCAAACTACTTCTTGTATCAACATGATACAACCAACTGATAGCCTGATCCGAATTCTCCAACACCATTTTTCATTTCCATTTGCAACACCCATAAGTCTACCATGTCTTCCTCTTCTTCCCCATCTCATCATTCTCCTCGTCATTGCTACCGCTCCCCGACCTACTTCGCTTCCTCGCCGCGGAGGTGAGTAACCCCCGACTGGAAGAAGCTACAGCGAATTGAGCAGTCGGAGATCGAGGAGAGTGTGGAGGAGAAGTGGATGTCAAAGGTTGCTGTTCTTCACGCGGGCTTGATGATAAAATTCGAGACTCCGGAGGGGCTTGCAAACGGTCGCGCGATGAATAAATGACATTATCGCCTGAATCAGGCTGTGAATGCGGGTTCTGTTGGTATTGTATCTGCATAGAAGAATTTGGAGAAGTTTTATCCTTCTCCAAGGGACCTAAATCCGCCGCAGTGCTCGTAGTTTCTGTATTTCCCACCATGGAAATTCGTTCCGGTTCTCCCTCAAAATGTAGATCCGACTCCCGATTTCTAGTATCCGCTTCCTGAGGACTGTTGTCCAAATCCGCAGCTCCATCTGACTGACTAAGGACCTCGTCTTTCTGAGCATGCTCGTTCGCGCTAGGAGTCCTATTTCCTACACTTTGGAGTGGTGTCCTCTCGGCCATTCCAGCCTGCGCTTTATCCTGGTTGACTTCAAAGCTGTCCTCTAACAGACTCAAGGCTAGAGCCTTTTTCAGCTCCTCATCGCTTGAGTCATATGGGTCGTAGGGCTGTAGGGAAGTGTTCTCTGGTGTGATCGGTGCGTTACTTGCTGTGAATGTAGAGACTTCGACCTTTGCATTCCCCTTTCCCTTGTTCGCTTTCGATGTCCTTTGTAGAGGCTGATTTTCCTTATCCGATCCACCATCATCAGAAGGTGAAATGGACAAAGAAGAATTTTTTGGGTCTTCTTCAGCTTCGTTCTCGCTCTGTCCGACTTCTTCTCCTGAATCTGCATGCTCCGATAGGAATGATTCCTGAATCTCGAGAGATAAAGCCAGAGCGCGTTCGATCTGCTCGTCCTCATCCAGAAAGTCCAAGTCGGTATCGCTTTCCAGCTCGTCCTCGTCCACACAATCTAAGTCAATATCGCTTCCCGGTTCATCTTCAATTTGATATTGGTCTTCGTCCTCTTCAACTTGATACTGGTCCTCGTCAGACTCAGTTGAACACTGGTCTTCGTCATTTTCTATGGGGAAAAACTCGTCGAAGCGTTGCTCTAATTTGCGTTCATCCCGTTCAACCTTCCGAGCTTGATATTTTGGCTCTGAAGATGGTTGTGTTTCCCGCATCGATAATTCCACCGCATAGGAAATTTGCTCCTCGTCAGACATGGTAGAGAGATCCAATCCCGACTGCGGAATCAGCCCACCGGGAACATCCATCCCCTCTGTTTCCTTCAAACTTTCTCGTATCTGCTTGCTGACGGATTTAACTTCTTCCTTAAAACAATTACGACCGACGAAGGTGTTAACAATTTGCTTCAACAAGTCCATAACAATATCCTTACTCGTTTCTAGGCTAGTAGTGTCTACCACACCCTCGCCCCTCTTTTTTGCATCAAAGAGCTCATCCTCAAACCGAGCAACACGTAGTGCTGTGTCTGCCATGACACCGAAGAGACCCCTTTTGGGCTCGCTCCAGTGCGCATGGGCCGGATTACGCGACTGACGAGGATCGGGATAGTAGCATGCAAACTGGACTTCTGAAAACAATTGTGTAGCAAATTGGCGCCCATTTAGGCGTTGTAGGATTTCGAGCCTTTTCCTGCGCTCATTGTCTGCGGCGTCCTCAAATTGCTGACCTAGGGAGCGATCGTAAGCACCGGATAGTACCATCGATTCCCAACGCTGGACTCGGTCACGAGAACGGCGGTCAAGGATACTGTGCCAAGCAATAAGAACAAGATCATCAGCATTATATTCAAGCGTTTTAGTGCTGGAGGTTTGTTGCAAAGTTCGCTTCGAGTCGTCCCTTTGATCGTTTGCTCTCTGTACACTTCTTGTTTCAATCGGTTGCCTGAAATCCTCAAGCTCCGTGTCCCGTTCCTCCTGCGGTGGCCCAGACAGATGATTTTGGAGAGTTACATCACGATCGTTCCTGTCTGTAAGCAGAACTCGGGGAGAGTCGAGAAACCCAGCCTTTTGCATATATGGATCCACGTTTAGACGGTGAAGTTCCTGGTTGATAGATAATATGCGTGAAGATGATATGTCTTCGGCATCTTTGCTATCGTTGAAGTCGGATAAGTCCGAAGGAATCTGTGGGTAGGAAAGAACTTGTGGGTCGGAAAGAACTTGTGGGTCGGACAGAACTTGTGGGTCGGAAGGGATTCGAAGCAGTGCAAGGGGAATTTCTTCGCTCGAATCCGAGCTTGAACTGGGGCTTTCTCCTCGGTGGAGTCCCCGCTCGGTCGCTTCTTTTTTCAACGCGATAAGTCCAGCCATAGCTTCAGTGCGCTTACTTTCATCAAGCGCTTCTCTTTGCCTTCGCATTGTCTTCACTGAAGCTTTCTTTCGAGCAGTTCTATCCTGCATCTCTTTTTCTCTTCGTCCTATCATTACTAGAGCAAGGTTACCATGGAGTTGGGTAGGGGGCTCCGATTCCTCACGCTTCTGTTCATCCTGGCCACTAATGTCGGAAAACTCATCATGCCCCTCTACGCCCTGTTCTTCCTCTGTGGATGAAGTCTCAGATTGAGAATCGTTCCTTTTCCTTACCCGCATGTTAATAACCTCAACATGTAATTGGGATCTTTCGAGTTGTTCGTCAGTCAGGAATTTCCTTAGCTGCTTTGTAAAATCCTCCTGGTTTAACTGATTAGAAATATAGCGCGAATAAGACCTAACCCATCGTTGCCACAGAGTATTTCCCAACCACTTTCGCAGAATCTCCTGAGTTGTGGGAGAGAGTGCAGAAAGCTCTTCTGCACGTTTGTAGGCGACATGCGCGGGTGTCTTAGCTGTATTTTCCCTATCTGGGTTCTGAGATTGAGGCTGTGGGGGATTCTCATCCCCGAGATGTAAGTGTTCAGTGACCGCCTTGAAGTGGGCATTGAAGAGTCGTATCTGATATGGACTGAAACATAGGGATAGTGCCGTCTGTATCATTTCATAGCTTATCGTTTCTATATATTGTTAGAAGATTTATTTTGGTTTCACCAATACCCCGTTTGCGTTTTTCGAAACTGGTTCACGTTGAGGGGACGATTGATCGGGAGATAATTGTCAGGTAACGGGCTCAGAAATAATGTTGCACTCACTATCATGCCACCCTACTAGTGTGTCAATCCAGATACTCCAGTCATCACCACTAAACACCTTCTTCATCGGTAATTCGGTTTTTGGATGCAGTGCCGAGTTAATCTTAGCCCAATCCTCAGGTTTTACCTTTGAGTCCAAGAATAATGACTTCCTCTTATTATACAGCTCAGGACCGGTAAAGCTTTGAACGACTTTTCGATGCGTTTTCTGCGCAGTGTCTCTCCGACCGGGATCAAGGATGTCTTTGCACATTGTTTTGCCCTCTTCATCGAATTTTTTGAATGTGAGTTTACCTAATAATGAGAGTCTGTTAGCAAATCTAGGGTTTAAATTACCCATCTCTACCGCCATGACCCGGGAGTTTCGATTCGACAGATTCTTTACCTTTCTTACAATCCTCATAGAACCGCATATAGACCGGATAGTGCTGTAAAAAAGCTTTTCTTATGTCATCTATGTCTAAATCCGTCCCTTTCAACGTCCCTCTCTCGGTAGTCGCGCTGAGAGTTTTATCGTCGCCATCAGCAAGTGGAAGCACTGCTGATTCGGCATCGGGATTAGGGGCAAAGCCTCGGCTGGTGAGATACTCCTTATGAAGGCCTTCAAAACCATCTCGAGCATAAAAGTCAAATATCCGGGTATAAAATTCTAATTGATTAGAATCTTTGAAAGGTATGTCAGCTCACGTCGATTTGAAAGGGTCTTCGTTCCAATTATGTAATGAACGACAAGCAATAATGCAGTTTTTGAGTGAGGTTTGTAGCTTTGTAGTTTTATAGTCCTACCCTGTAAGTATTCCTTCCAAGCATGTTCATATTCGCTCCATTCATTGCCTAGAACATCTTTGAGCGCATCTTCCAATAGAGCCCTAGCTTCTAGAATTGCAGGCATCTCGTCGGAGGAAGATCGATCCGCAGGTACAGTCGGGGAGTTCGATTGTGTTGGCCTTGCGTCTGATTGCGGGTCCGAAAGTGATGCTCCTGCGCAAAGAAGATACGGTACCATCGTGCTCCTATGGTTATGAGCTATAGCGTGAGTACTACGTATTGGTGATGTAGTAGTGGATACCATTGCACGAGACTTCTCGGAAGCATTCTCCCCATTTTGCGGCTTCAGCTGTTTGGCTTTCCATTTACGTGACATTCGAGAGTAAGCTGTCCCACTATAACGATTTATGGCGGTTTTGTGAGCCCAGTCATGATGGGCCGCACGTTTTTCGTCAGTGTTGAGAATATGCTTGAGACGTTCTAAGGCATCATCTTCCCTTTTTCTTGAGGGTTCAGTATTTCCCCCTGCTCCCCACGTTAGACGAAAATAATATCTCTGGGTGAAATACATGGAGACACTGCCAACATACCTGC